TAAAAATTGCTTAATATGTCAGGGAATAAAAAAAAAAAAATATTACATTTACGAGAATAATCCAAACATGATAATATTTTTATCAATTTTTTATTCTATAATATTAACCTTCTTCTGTAAAAGAAGAAAAACTTTCTTTGATTTATACGACATTTTTACCAAGATACATAAATTTGAAATCATTTTAAAAATATTGGAAACCACAAAGTTGGCCAATACTTCAGAAGGATCAATGATATAAGGTTAATGAAGGATAGCTTGGAATATCATTTTTCAAATCGATGAATTAATGCTCAACAATCATTATTATTAAAGTCTGCTAATTGATTCATTAGCTACGCGTATATATAGTTAATATAATCTATCATGGATCTTTTTTTTTTTTTTTAACACGAAAAAGAGAAGAAAACCATCGAACTATTGATTGGTTTAATTTTTTCACAAAATTGAAATTGATTTATTATTGACAATTGAAGATCATTCTCGTTGTAGAATATTGAAAATATAATAGAATTATCACGTTTGAGTGAAAGATTTTGAATCGAGATCGTCATGTAGCTTTTAGTTTCTTCGAAATGTCAAGAGTACGAATATTTGGAATTTATTTAATGGGATTAATATAATCGGACTAAAATTCGGAAATTCTTTGTAGTTTATAAAATTAAACAATAACAGATAATTATTGCTATTAATTCAGCAAAAAATAGCAAATATAATATATATATATACTGTAACTATCAAGAAACTAATTTCACAGTTAATTTAATTTAATATACCTATTGGCTATTCATTATGTATTATATTAGGCTATTTTTGTAACTACACTCATTCGTGAAAAATGATAAAAGCCAATATACTAATATTCAAAATTATAAATTAGCTTATATTATATTTTTGAAAAATTTAATCTACCTTAAACACGTTAATTTACCATGCTGACATTTCCAGAAAAATTGCAAACCAAGTATCCTTAATATTGCGATCGAACGAAGCTCAGATTTAAATTAAAATCGATCAAACAAAATCGTAATACTGGATCCACGTAGAAAAGACGTAAGAAACCATCCTCGATCCTATAAAAAAAGAAAAAAAAACCTCCTCCAACGTTAATTACCATAAATTCGAATCGAGGGCTAATCTTTCACGCCTTAATTACAAGGCTGGGCTATATGATGTCCATTAGAACTGTGTTTTCGCGATCCTCCGATCAACTGGAAAACACGCGAACGAAGAAAGTCATCAGGCAGACAACATCCATAAATTTTAATGATCCACGTTACGGGCAAATTTGCCAGTCATGAATACGTGTTTTTCTCGATTCTAATCCTTCGCGTCTGCCTACTTTACTCTAATTAAATGCCACCGCTTCCTGGCGTTTTTTTTTTTCTTTTCCTTTTTTCGCTTGATATCTTATCGCGACTAGATCATAAGATTGATCATAAGATTGATAATTGAAGAATTCTGTGCGAATAAATCGAAATGATGATGATGCTTTTTACCAAATGCATGTGTTCTATAAAATAAATTGAATTTTTTTTGTTTTATTTTTATTTTTATTTTGCAATGTTGGTTCTAGCTTATTGATAGCTATTCATCGATAGAATATTTGCCGTTGAAAAGCGATTAATTTTAATTTTTCTGCGGATGATTTTTGAGCTGTTGTTTATACTCTAAATGGATTTTCTAAAAGATGAAGAAATGGGAAAGTGAGTAATTGTTTTTTAAGATTTGTTGGATTTATCTTAAGAGGTAAACTGAAAAAATGGAAGAATGTTTAAATATTTATTTATTGAATTAACTTGATTATAAATAAGAAAAAATATTATTTATACTTTGAATAATAAATTAATTTTTTGAATTATAATTATCTCTGTCAAGAGTTTTAGAGAAAAATAGAATTATTTACACATAATATAATATTGTATCTATTATAACAGATATTTCATAAAATATTATAATGAACAATTACAATTGATAAAAATATTATACATTTCATGTTTGGACATTTTATATTAATTAAATTCTAAATTATCTAAATTATCTAATTTATTTTATGCAAAAGATTTAAAATGAAGATTTTTTTTTTATCATTAATTTTTATCATACATATTATTAACACCAAGTCTGTTACTATCTTATTTAAATCAGGTTGGAATCCAATGAGAATGCATAGTTAACGTCTACTGATATTGAAATCAAATCGAAATTGCGAAACATGGTAAGGAAACTGGCTGATAATGAGGACTTTCTCTTGTTCGCACGAAAGCTCATTGGTATGCTTGTGTTGAACAAACGCTCGAGCCTTTGGAACGGTGAACATTGTGCTGTAACATTAGCGAATAATTACTGAGATCGTAAAGTTTGTTAGTTAACTAACGGAACTGTCTTATTCAGTTCTTCTTCCTGTGTGTATTTTATTCAGGATATTGATATATTTGTGAGACAAATTGGAGGTCAAAAGTTAGTAGTGAAAAAATGTCGGTTGAAGTTTACTTATTTAGTTATAACCAATTTAATTTTTCAGATAAATTGTAGAAATTGTACGGAATGTTGATATATTTATGGATAATCTTTGAAAATAGTATTTTAATTTTATGAATCAAAAGAAATATATAAAACTTGATATGCAGAAATGCCAGTTGAAGCTTACTTATTGAGTTATAAATTGAGTAATTTCAATTTGCGTTAGGTTAGGTTAAGAATATAAATATATTTATGGACGATGGAATTCAATGCACACAGATGGAATTGTGCATCTTTTAAATTAAAATAAATAATTTATATTTCTTAACCTCTTTTGTAACATGTGAAATGAACAAACGAAAATAAACTTCGATAAAACAATCATAGCTATGCGATAGAAATTATATTTTTGCATAAATGGCGCCAAATTTAAAAATTTTTCAAGAAATAGAAATTACCCAATCGTTTTATGCATGATAATATATAACATAAAAAATGAAAAATTGCTAAATTTTGATAAAAAATTTGTCTTTATCTTTGAATTACTATAAAAAAAAAAATCATACATACAACAATCCACTTTCACAATCTTGAGTTTTATTTTTAAAATTTCTAAAAAATTCATTTTTCAGATTCGTAAATTGTATAAAAATATTTTCACGATGAAATAATAAATATACGTAGCGCATATAATGAAACTGTTATAGTACAAGTGCACGCTGTTTCATTCAACGCGAATATAAATTAAAACGAACGAGGTAACTCGGTAGGCGACGTACGATCTATTATTTCAAACAGCTACCGTGTTTTCTCGGCTGAGAAGAACTGCCGATTGAGATCTCGAAATCGTAGATAAGAGTGGTAATACCGATACTCGGTGCAACGGTATCTTACACTACCGAGAATTGAACCGGCACGACGAATGATCATATACGTTATATCGCTTGGTAACGCACGAACGACCTCTTACACGGAAGGTACAACAAATCGGATAATTTATGTGATCGACATGGTAAAATTGAACGTAATGTATAAGGAATTATTGAGATGATAATTTAGAGCAATGCAATGATCCAATCATCCATATATAGAAATAAATGTATTTGTAGAAAAATATTTTTATTTTATAAAATAAATGTAAATAATAAAATAAAAAAATATATGTAGAAAGTAGTTGTCTGAAAAATTTTATGTTTCTTTTATAGGTAATTCATTATTTCTCTAGAAAACAACTAGAAAAGAAAATATTTGAAAAGGAAGAAAATAATAAATATATAATTAATGTAATATATAAATTTATTATTTTCCTTTTTTACATTATAATATGGAATTTAATATCGTAAAATGTATATTAAAATGTATATTAAATTATCTTAGATTACATAGAAGCTAGCATTACAAAGATTATATAGAAATTGTAAAACGAATAACGTGAAATATGATATTATAGAATGAAATAAACATACAAAAATAATTTTTCTATTAAAATTCTCGAGATTATATTGAAACAAGATATTAAAAAAAAATTAAAAAATTTTAGAAAAACAATTATTTATTCTCCAATGATTTAAGATTGGATTAAATTAATAGGAAAAAAATTTATTTGAATGAATATAAGGTAAGGTAAAGAATTCACAGAATGAACGACTTCTAATATATATGTTTGAGACGAGACGAGACGAGAGGATATATTTCAAAAATTGGATCTCGTTATTTCGTTACTTACGAAAAGGAACGAAAAATCTGCAATCTCTGAATACAGCATGAAAGGTTACACTCTACTTGACGATATGAACTCAAAATCTAGGATAAGAATGCATATCAAGGCCGATCTCTCAAGCCATCCGCGGCTCTCTCTCATTACCGTTCAGTAAATCCAAACTTAATTAGATCTCAAGCGGAAAACCGTTTCGTTCTGTGTACGAATTAATCGGATTCGATAAAAAAAAAAAGGAAAAGAATGATTACACAAAGTTCAGTTCAAAATCGATACGCTGAATCGTGGATGGAAGTAAATATTCGAGGATCAAGAATAGGAAGTTTATGATAGTTGCAATAATTTGTATTCCATGAAAAAACGATAAAACAGTTTTAATCGATAAGTCGGCGATTAATCGATAAAGTAGTTTCCTTTGGAAGGTAATATTAAATTTTTTTTTATAAATCGTTACAATAAAGTGATACACATACATGTACGTGTATAATAACAATAATTTAAATTTATTTAATTATGGCATAATTTTAATTTTAATTTCATTAATAAATATTGAAATAAAAGTGACAATTGACAATAGTAATTTTTGATTATATTTAGATTGTTTTATATTTTTTACTTTGAATTTTAATCTACATCTAATTTACATCATTTCCATATTTATTACGTATAATTTGTAGTTATTTTATCAATGATAAAATAAAATTTTTCAATTTATCGAAAATGTATTAAAATTTATTTGCCCCATTCAAATTAAGTATAATTATACCCAACATGTGCAAACTGAACGTGAACCAACCTTGGCAATTAATTTTCATTGTAGGAAGCCAATTCAGCGACAACACACCACCCGTGATGTGGATAGACCGAAATCTGGTGCTTCTTGATTCAGAGCCTGTAGGAAGCGTGGTGACTAGAGCCCGTGCCGAGGACAATGAACAGGATCAGCTAACCTATGGCTTGGAACCTCTTGGGCACAATTACAACGGAAACGAGAGCCCGCAACCCTCGCTTCCTTTCTTCATCGACAATAGCACGGGCATTATCTACGTTAATGAAACGCTCAAAAATAAAGTAAATGTACCTTCTAATCCCTATCTTAATTATTTTCACGTTTAAATTAAAACCACTACAACGAATAGAGGAATTCTTTTTATCTTCGAATAATTATTCTTTGTTCAAGTGAATTTCAATGTGTGAAATGAATTGTGCCTTGATCGAGAATTTCCAATTCTTGGAGAATTTTTAATCTAGAAAAAAATATCATTAATGTTTTAAATGACATAACATTTTTAATACATTATAGAATACATCATATTAAAATATAAGTATTATAAATAGAACATATCAGTAATGATAATTTTTATCAGTACATAATTTACTCTAAAAGTAATAAGACTTCTTTACTTATTACTTATTAATTATAATTCTCGCCATACTCGAATGGCAATTTAACAATTGTTGTACACCCAAATAAAAATGAATTATCTTAGTAAAATTATTTCAACATACTTTTTAATAACATTTATTTTATTTATAATCGTATTTAATTATAATATCTATCGTTAAGTGAAATTTTAAAAAATTTTAAAAAAACAAGGAATTTAAATAGTAGAGACCACTTAAAGGTCAAGTTTATTTCTTCAAATGGAATTACGTTTACCATTAACCGTTCTTTATTACGTTCTATACGTCTGGACTGGCATCAGATACGAAATACTGCGCATCATTGTGATGCATCTAAACGAGTCGTGTACGTTAGACGAGGGCAAGATACGCGTTTACGTGCTGTCATCTTTTTTCCTCCTTTGCTCAAGACGATAAGAACGTAACACGAGCTGCATACGGTCGCTTCAAGAATTGAACGATGTTTCTTGCTTCTTCTTTCCAGGGAGGGCAGAACCTGTTCCTTTATGTAACCGTCTCCGACGGTCAACTCACGACAAAGACCGAGGTCTACGTCACCATCAAGAACACTTCGGGTCCCAATGGAGGACACACCAGGTGAGTCGAGGATAAAATTGGTCGCAAGATCGATGAACTGATTTTGATCTTCACTTGAGATGAGATCGTTTACCATGGAAATTCTTTTATAGAAATAATATAACAATGTATGATATTAAAATTTATATTGACATCTAAAATATTTATATCATGAATAAAAATTGAACCTGAGCATATTAATTTCAAGATTAGATAGATAGAATAAATTATAGAATAATTTTTATAAGTAAATATTAATTGTGTTACAATTTTTGTAGTATTATCAAAAATTATATATTTCATTTTGAATATTAATTATTTATTTTTTTAAATTTACCATATACTTGTTATGATACGTCAAAATTAAAAGTAAATAAAAATATATAGTAAATAAAAATAAAAGTAAATAAAAATAGTTCATTATTTATATTTTTAAAAAAAAAATGGAAGAATGAATCAAAGAAATATCGTTTATATTATTAAAATCATCTAAAGATACGTCATTAATTTTATTGTGAAACGGGTGCAATTAAAATTTATATCAAAAATTTTATTAGAAATAAAAAAAGATGTTTAAAGATTTTTATAAAAAGGATTGCATATACGTACGATTATATATGTGTTGTTGTTTCAAACCTCTTCGATCTAATCCCTTTGAAAATCAACAGCTCCAATCTTCCTTGAAACAGTTTTTCAGTTGACCGAGCAGAGGTTCCGGTGAATCTGCGGGACCTAGTCAACCTGCAAGAAAGTTTCGTCGATAAATCACGGTGAACAGTGCGTGACCTTTTGGAGGACTCTCAGTGGCCCGTTCCATTATTCATGCTCCAGTTCGTCGATGATCAGATTCGTTTTGAGTGACAAACTCTGTTTGCCCCAATTTTTCATAATACTCGTTCCACTTCGATTCGAATCGTTTCGAAATCACGGTATCTCGACTCTTCCAATTTTTGATCATGCATGATCGATCGTACTCCAAACTTTGAACGACTTTCAAACAACTTACGATTAGTTCAAATTTTCAGGATCACCCTCCAGAGTTGATCCAGATTTTCCTCTAATTTTTTACAAAAGTGAATATTTCAATATTTCTAATTTTTTTATGATATTATATTAAAGTCCAATTTTGGTCCAATTTTTTACAATAATATTCATTATTCTTTACTGTTTCGATATTTGAAAAAATTGTTCCAATTTTTACGACGATGCTTTTAGAATTAGATGCTTTTCGATTCAACTCCAATCTTTCCAATTCTTTTTAACCTCTCCAAATCTCTTACTCGAAGTATCTTCCAGAATCGATTCTCTCAATTTTTAACCACGCTTCCCAGAATTCGAGTCTTTAAACCGTAATTCACCTTCGTTCTAATTTTCCCTTTTGTTCCAGGAGCCCGTTTCTGGGCCAGCACGGCTCTCCCGGCAGAATCCGGCCGCCAATGTTGGGCCTGTCCAGCCTGTCCAACTACAGGCCTTCGTTACCTCATAAACCACCGCCAGTGCCCGTGCCGGCCAATATACCAAAAACGACGAAGCTGCAGCCGGAGGAGTCGAAGGAGGCCGAGGGTGATCCAGATCCAACCACCGCCACCGCCGGTGTCCCTCAACCGGCGACAGAGGAGAACGAGGTCGAGGGGCCACCTCTCAGCTCGAAAATCTCACCTGCCGACGCAGCGCCTTCACAAGATATTGCTATCACCCTGGTACCCGTCACGGCTGTCTGCGTGCTCGTCGTGGGACTGGGCATGGGTGTGTGGTCAATGAGGAACAAATTCTGCGGGAACCGAAAGTCTAAGGAAGACACGGTACGAGGATGGTTATGTATAAAATTAATTGAAAAATGGAAAAGATGTGTTTTATGTATTATTTTTTGAAGCGTGAGCGAGGGAAGCTTGTGAATTCAGCTGGGAAATTTTCTATGCAATTTTAGATAAATTTGGAAATGTATGAAAATATTCATGAATCGGTATTCATGAAAGTAATATGTTTGTTTAAAATATGTAAGTTGAGTATTAGTGTTCATTTATTTAATTATGAGTAACATAAATTTGGGATCATTGATATTTGTATGAGAATATTTATAAAATGTAGTAATAATAATAGTAATTGTTTATTTAAAGTTAGAAACTTGTTGATAGAAATTACAGTTTTATATTGTTAAGAATATTTAATAATTCTAACATATTGAAGTCTATCTTGTATATAAATACAGTTTTATAGAGTAATAACATAATGAAAAGAATTATAAATGTGTATTCAAAATATTATAATTAAAAATTATATAATGAATATGTTTTTCAACATATATTTTTCTATTTGTATTCTATTCGTTATTTTTTAAAATATTAAATAAAATTTTGAAATAATTATTTTTGTTTTAATATAGAAAGAACAAGCTTCGGTTAGCGTCTCGAACATATCAGATGATCCATCGCTTGTCTTGAAAAGATGGCGAGGGCCAAAAGCGTACAACAATCGATACGAGCCATGGGAAAAAGAGAATCAAGGCGCTCAGAATAAGCAAGAAGATAAATGGGAATTTCCACGACATCGATTAAAGGTTGGTAATTACGCCGACATAAAAAAAATTCATCTTAAAGCAAATATGATTATTCAATTTTATATTCATTTTATCAGGGAAATTTTATTTTAAAAGAATTATTCAAATTTAATTCTTTAATAAAATTTCTCAAAGGCAAATCAATTTTTTTTATATTAAAATTATCTTCATTTTCACTTTAATACATTTTGAATTAAATGTAATATATATAAATGTAATGAAAATTTGAAAACTTTATTTTTTTAAACGAAATGTTTTATATAATTAAAAAACATTTTCTCCTATATTCATAATTAAGAAAACATGATTTATTAAGTTTTTCCTCTTTATGTAATTAATATTCAAATTCAAATGTCTTTGGATAATCAATATTTCTTTTTTTCTTTCTTTTTTTTTCATCAAAAAAAAAATAATTAAACAAATTATTTCATTAAATAGGTTTTCAATATTCTTGGTGAAGGTTGCTTTGGTCAAGTATGGAAATGCGAAGCTTTAGATATTGATGGAAAATCAGGAGCAACTATAGTCGCTGTGAAGACATTAAAAGAAAATGCCACGGAAAGAGAACGACTAGATCTCGCTCAGGAATTACGAGTCATGAAAAATTTGGATCCTCATCCCAATGTAGTCAGATTATTGGGCTGCTGTACAGAACGTGAACCTATGTTCGTTATTTTAGAATATGTAAGTGGTGGAAAACTTCAGAGTTTTCTGAGAGCATCTAGAGAAGAAAGAAACCACGGTGGACCTGGACTGACGTCTAGGGATTTAACTGGATTTGTTTATCAAGTATTATATATTATGTAATATAAAATCTTTTTTAAAAAATAATTTAAAATTGATATTTTTTTATAATTCACACTATCTATAATACAATATAATACGATAAATTTTTAATCATAATTATGTATAATATAATTTTTAAATGTTTCTCAAATTTTATATAGAATCAATATAGTTTAAGTAATCTTAATATATTAAATTTTAATTATTTTAACAAATAATCTTAACTATTATTATTCAATTATATATCAGATACAAGTGTAGATATTAATAAATTTTACACTTATTATTATTTATTTACATAATAATTTATATATCACAGATTGCCAAAGGCATGGAATATTTAGCTTCCAAAGGAATTATACATAGAGATCTAGCTGCACGGAACATATTGATCGACGAGAATCGTGCTTGTAAAGTTGCGGATTTCGGATTCGCTCGAGACGTGGCCGCTAATCAAATTTATGAAAGGAAGTCCGAAGGTCGGCTACCTATCAGATGGATGGCTCCTGAGAGTTTATACGACAACATCTTTTCTGTAAAATCGGATATATGGAGTTTTGGAGTATTAATATGGGAAATCGTGACGTTGGGTTCCACGCCTTATCCCGGTTTAGCTGCAGCAGAGGTAGGGTCTTAGGGTCAGCAGAGTTTATTAATTTTAAAGTTGCTATTTTTTAAAAAAAATTAAATGCAATCTTTTAAAATTAATTTTTCAGTTTACATTGTGATTATTCTTTCATTTTAAAAATTGTTTAAATTAGCAAATTATTAAAATTCCTTAAAAATAATATATATATAGAAAATTTTAAATAATTAATTTTAGATAGAATTGTTTCTTTAATTTTTTAATTTAGAATATTTGTAATATATTTATACATTTTTATTCTTTATAATTATAGATTTGAACTATAACAATAATAATAATAAACAAATTTAAAAGAGCTTTGTTAATTAAGAAATTTATATGCTTTCTTATTTTTACTAAATTATAATTCTTATAATTCTATAAATATTTAATTTTAATTTTAAGTTTAATTAAATAAATGTAATTAATTAATAATTACAAAGTTTATGAGAAATTTTATTAAAGAATTAAATTTGAATAATATAATTTAAAATGTTCTTGATTTCTAATATTTTATTTCAATTAATTTTTATTATTATTTTATTTTCTAATCATAAATTATGTTATAAATTATTTTAATATTCGAAGAAAAAAGAGAAATTTAAATATTGGCAATACATTATATAAAATTATTTTTGTAGGTAATGAGGAGGATCAAAGAGGGCTATAGATTAGACAGGCCAGAACATTGTAAAAGAGAACTTTATAACATTATGTATTATTGCTGGGACAAAGATCCAGCATGTAGGCCATCCTTTGGAGAACTCGTCAGCCTAACAGAAGGTCTTTTACTCGACGAAACCGATTATATTGAATTAGATAGGTTCCCGGACCATTCGTATTACAACGTATTAAATCTCAGCGGAGAGAAATTGTAAATGATTGTATCTAAAATATAATATTAATATCATTGACTGATTTATATGAATTTTTGATAATTAGGCTTAATATGATTTTGGAGCACTGATATACGATGATTATGCAATAATTTCTTTGTTTTTCAATTTGTAAATATGCAGAATAATTTATATTAAAATATTATAGTTTATAAATATTTTAATAAAATAGAGTTATGCGTCATATCAATTATTCAATCAGTGTTTTGAAAATCTTAAAACTTAAATGTTTTAGAAATCTGTTTACCTGTTTATTGAGATTAAGTTCATCGACGATTTACCTGAATTACGTTAATTTGTATATATTAATAAATAAATGTGTGGAATAATAAATAATTTCACACATTGAACGAGTTGTAAGTATTCTGAAGAGATAAAGGCGTCATGAACTAGTCAGAGTTCAAATAAATTTTTTTGATTGTACGTATATTAATTAACATGCGAAAAAAAAATATGTTGAAGAGATAATTATTCTGATAAAAAAACTTTTTTATATATGCGAATTGTAAATATGTATTAAGTAAGATTTTTAATAAATTATTATGTAATTATTTTTTTGTAAAAATAAATCATTTTAATATGATTTATTTCTTTTGTTTTTATGAATACATCATTTTAAAATTTACCCATTTATTTTATATTTAAAAAATTATTTAAATAAATAATTCTTTCATCAAACTATATTGAAATTTATTACATGATATGTAAATATTTTTTATTTTTAATATATTTTTTAATTTTCTTATTTTTTATTTTTATTATAGCGGTTCTTATATATATATAGTAAGTATTGCAGATCGTCGGTGTAATTAATTTTCTTACATATAATAGTTCAATTGATTGCATATAGTGATAATTGCATATAATAACGATATTATAAATTATATTGTCTTTCTTTTTAATTTATTGATATTCTTTTATTCAAAAATTATTAGCCTATTAATTATTACGATTATTGAAAAAATAAATATTTAAAAAATTATTAAATAGGAAAAAATTAGCAATTTATTTAATATATAATATTTTTTGCCATTTTTTTATGATTTTATGAATAGCATAAATATCATGAATAGAAGATATGAATAGAAGAATAGAATAGAAAATAATTTTGTATTTTACTTTTGCTTTATTTTAATGTAATATATTTATGGATTGATTTGATTTGAAATGCATGAATATATTTATATATTTACATATATATATATTTATATATATATTTATATATATTTATAATTATTTATATATATTATTATATATTATTAAATACAATACAAAATAATATACATATTTAAAAACATATATATAACCTACGACGTAGTTATGAAACATAGAAATAAATAGAATTCTATTAACATATTAAATATTTTTATTATAAATAAAACAAGCATTTTATTCTGCTTTTTTAATATAATGAAATCTGTTACTGAAATACAAATTAATCGAAATATTAAATCTTAATAAATGCAAATTAGTCAAAATATTAAACATTATTAAGGATAAATTGTAATATAATACATGTCCATTTTTCAAATTTATTCTTTTTAAATATAATCTAAATATTAGTATATAATAGAAGAAAGAAGAAATTCAAATCAAATTTAAAATTTTTAAATAATTCTTATATATACGATATTTTTGGAGATAATTTCATTTATATAATTTCATTTATATAATTTTATTTCAAATAAATTAAGATATTTAATCAATTAGATATTATCTTGAGTGGAAATTACCAGTATAACATAGCAGACGACATAACATACGCAGTAGCGGTTCTTATGTATATATAGTAAGTATTGCAGATCGTCGGTGTAATTAATTTTCTTACATATAATAGTTCAATTAATTGCATATAGTGATAATTACATATAATAACGATATAAATTGATTATTTCAACAGTGTGTGAACACGTCATGGAAAAAGATAAAATTGTACCTTATTCGCGTACCGGCAACAAGGAAGAAGATGAGGTTAGTTTGTTGTGGATCATAGTCAATAAGGTTAAGAAAACTGTCAAAATGACAAGAATCAATCGGGTTTATTATTGTATTGTATATTATATTGTATCATGAATTTTACATTTTAAAGAAATATATATATTTTCCTATAGATATTATTGGAACCGTATAATTACATTCTCCAAGTTCCTGGAAAACAAATTAGAGCCACATTAGCACATGCTTTTAATTACTGGTTAAAAATAAAATCAGATAAACTTCGTGATATTGGAGATATTATACAATTACTTCATAATGCCAGCCTCTTGTGAGTTTACAAATTTTATTTATTTTAACTCTTGAAACTATCATTTTTTTTTTTCTTCAAATATTTTAAATATATTGGATACATTTATAGAATCACAAAATTATTGATTATTATAATTTTTACAGAATTGATGATATTCAAGATAATTCAGTTTTAAGAAGAGGTATTCCTGTAGCTCATAATATTTATGGTGTAGCATCTACAATGAATGCTGCAAATTATGCCATATTTATTGCTTTGGAAAAAGTACTTGCTTTAAATCATGTAGAGGTAAATGTGCTATGTAAAAATTTTTATTTTTTTTATAAATTTTTTGATTTTAATATTATTAAAATTAATATTAGGGTATACAAATATATTTAGAACAGTTACTAGAACTTCATAGAGGTCAGGGTATGGAAATTTATTGGAGAGATAATTATATTTGTCCTACTGAAGCAGCTTATAAACAGATGACAATTCAAAGTAAATTTTAAATTGATAATATCTTATATTCAATGATTTTATATTTCCTAATATTGTTACTAAATTTTTTTAAATTTTTTCTTATAGAAACAGGTGGTCTTTTTAATCTGGCTGTAAGATTAATGCAATTATTTTCTGAATGTAAAGAAGATTTTGTACCTTTAACTAGTATTTTAGGACTTTATTTTCAAATTCGTGATGATTATTGTAATCTATCTTCAGAAGAGGTAAGTTTTCAGATTTAATAATAAAATAAAAGTTATAGTATATCAAAAATTTTTATAGTATGTTGATAATAAAGGCTATTGCGAGGATCTTTCTGAAGGAAAGTATAGTTTTCCTATTATACATGCTATACGAAGCCATCCAGAAGATAGACAAATAATAAGTATCCTTTTCTTTAATTCTAAATAATCTAATTTTTTAAATATTCTTAAATATTATTCTTAGCTACTATTGATAAAGACATTCTTAGGCAACGAACAAAGGATATTGAGGTAAAACGGTATTGTGTTAAATTGCTAGAAAAGTTTGGATCTTTTACTTATACAAGGACTTTATTAGAAGAATTGGACAAGAAAGCAAGAGATGAAATTGCACGTTTAGGTGGAAATCCTTTATTAATTCAAGTTTTAGATAATTTAAAGTCTTGGAAACATACAAAACACTCAGGAAATGAATAAAAATAAAAAATTAATTATATTATGTTTTTTAAAATTTATGTCTATACATATTTAATTTATGTACATTTTTTTAATATATTTCAAAATTAAACATTTATTATCTGCTATATTTATAAAGGAAGAAAAATATAAGATTTTTTTTTTATTTAACAAGTAATACAAATGATAAACAATAAGAATTTATTCAAAATTTATATACAAATTTCAAATTTATTTCAAAATTTATATAAAAATATTAATATTGTTTGCTGCTTAATGTATATTTTCAGTTGATTATAATTGAAGTTCAAACAATACTTATTATATAGTAGAAATACTAGAAAAAAAAAGATATCAATTTAATCATATATATATAATAGTATATATACATAAATATTATATGTATATACATATATAATGACATTTTTTAATAAAAGTTTCAATGAAAGATCTCTAATAAAACAAATAATCTTTAGCATTAATATTAACATTTTTTTAATATGAAAATATCTGTGACTATATAAATAAGTATTCAAATTTTTTAACTAATTTTGTTATCTTAGTTGCTCTTTGAAAGTATATAGTATATTTATATATAATACAAATGAATAAATTATAATGAATATGGAACTTCACACAAGAAAATATATTATATTATTTTTAATTATTTTTTTAATAATATATTAGTATATTGGTCTAACTTTTACTTATTGCTTTTCATTTTTCTTCCTGATAATATATTATAAATTTCTATTTTTTTAATTATTTTTTATTTTTCTTTGTCTTCCATTTTATATTTTCCAAGAAAAATTTTAAAAGTGCAATTTAAATAAATCTGACTTAATTAAGAAATAATCAAAGATAATTGATAAATTTTTTCTAATAATTTTAATCTAATAATATAATATTATAGCTGAATTTTTACGTACAATTTTTAAGTATAATTTCAATAAATTCATTTTTATTATATTTGTTAAATAATAGTATAGATGAATTATTTTTGCACTGGTTACAAATATATATGTATATTTATGCAAAACATTTTCTTAACAATATCATTAAAAAAATAAAATTGATAAATGATTTTCAGTATAATATTATATTTTTTAAATATTCATAATAATAATGAATCAAAGTAAATTTATAATTGTAATCAAAAATTGAAATGAAAAATTATTAAACAAATCATGTAAAACGACTATTTATTAATTATATTTTGATTTTTATTATAGACTGCCATACATGTATAATAATTTAATTAACATTGTTTAATATTAAACTTACAATTAATTTCGCTTATGAAGATATTACTGATTTATACATTATGCGATCATATACTGTACAATTGATAATGTGATATAATATATATTGTATACATACAAAACCATTTGTAACGAATAAATGTATCTTCTTCAAAACTTAGCAATGCATTTATAATGTTTTATAATATTTTTATTTTATCACATTCTTTCTCACATGTTTTGTCATACTTCCAAGTAAAAACTATAATTTTAAATATGTAACATGTTAAGAAACATATATTTAAATTTATATATACGGAATAATGAGAATGAGAAGTAATTTATTTTAATTATTTTTTTTTTATTTATAAATTTAAACATATACATGTGGAAAATATTATATAATGATATTAAAAAACAAGTATTAAAAATTATAAATATTTTATAATTTTTTCATTTTTATTTTTTATGGTATATAATAGTTAATTGAATAATTATATATTGTATTATTATTAATAATTAGTCATAAAATCGAGCATAGTTGTAAAAACATATCATTCTTATTTCTCTCTTCCCATTCAATAAAAATATAAATAAATAATATTCATTCATACAATCATTAACAATCATAATAACTTTGCACTAATTTTACGATTTTAGAAACAGTTATGATGTTTTTTTAAAATTGCAAAGCTATTTAAATATAAATGCCTATATTAAGTTCTATAAGCTATTATTATTAGAATTATATTTTTTATAAATTAATACATGCGTAAAACATATTATTTACTATCACATATTCTATTATTCATTTATACATATGCTATGTTATTCATCATAAATTTGAGATTTTTTTCTATTTTCATTACTATGTTTTGAAATTTAATAAGTTTAAAAATTTTTTAAATTTCAAAAATAAAATATCTTGAATAATAATATGAATAATAATATGAATAATATAAATAATATGAATAATTTTAATACGATTAATTCTTATTTTAAAAAAAAAATAATATTAATATAATTTAGAAGAATAATAATATTAATATTAATATTATTAGTCTTAAATAAATTTTGTGATATTCTCAAATTTATGATTAAATTTATTATTCATAACTCTTTTTCAGAATCGTCTACGCAAATTTTTTACATCACTCTGAAATTTATCTTCACAGTCATTAAAGTACAATCGTTTATGATTAACCATTTTAAAACATTTACTACTTACACAAATACAAATAAAACATCATCATTAAACATTAGAGGATGAGAAACAGCTTTTTTTTTTAAAAAACATTTGAACGCGCGCGTATATATATCAAAAGGAACTCTTAATAATCTAAGGCCGATTTCAAATTATACAATTGAAACAATTTCTAATCCAGTGTTTCCTAATTCTTTTTAAGAATAATTTGATATGATAATATATTTGTTGTAGTATATTTGTTATATTTTAAAATATTCATATCAACTAAGGATTAGAGTAAAATTTAATCAAAAATTAAATAAAATTTAATATCAACTGATGTCGATAAAGATAATACTTTATAATGTAACCAATAATGAATTTTTATTTGTTTTTATTGATCTAGAAATTCCATTTTTCAACATTATTTATAAATATCAATAAATATTACATATTTTTATATTTCATAAAATTTTAATATTATTTTCGCGATTAAGAAACATAGTATTGTATTGTATGCAATATTTCAATACCATATATTGACTCGTAAAAAATTTCAACTACACAAAACGAAAACGAGAAATTTTGCAAATATTTTTATATATCTCAATGATCTGACACTCTTTATCTTTGATCAAATTTCTCAACGAGTCTCGCATTTTACCTGCTCATTTTTGGACCGCTAAACTTCCTTCGGAAAGTTTCATCGTTCCTCTGTTCAAGTTTTCTGTAACTTTTCGAATACGCAAAGCTTTCTCCTTCCTTTCTTTTTTGTATATTACATCCTCGCAAAGATGTCATTGACTTCTGCGTAACGCGAAAGAAGCTTGAATTTTGACATCGTTTGCAAAATGTCGAGATCGGCGTTTCTTCTGTCCGTTATCAACGACTAAGATAGCGTAGCTATTTGACATGTCCTTTGTTCCGGTTCACTATCCTCGTCTGATTCGCTTGCCCACGAGGGCTGACGTTCGTGTCATATTTCCCCATCGCTGTCTCCCACTCGTCCTGTTGGTCCAGACACACCGTCGTCCAGTACTTCCGTCACCTTGTGCGATGCACTCGATCTTAGAAAAAAGGTTCTTTTCTTTGTGGTCAGGAGAATGAATTGCTAGCCATTGGACAATTCTTATTTTGACAAATGATATATTAGGAATTAGGTTATGTCACGAGTAAGGAGATGTTATGTTGTGAATGTGAATCGAGGATTTTCGTAAAAGAAGACGAGAATGATATAAAAAGGAATTAATGTATATCGACATGAGTGAATTATAACAAACATTGGATAAAGTAAAGAATTAGAAAATCACATATCTTTAAAAAAATTGAAATGAATTTTTAAATATGGCAATATGATTCAATCAGAGTTTGGAATTTTTTTTTATATAAAGTATACATAAAAGTAATGTGTAAGATTGATAGCTAGTTATAAGTATTTAGAAGAAAAAAGAAGTGAAAGTGAACATGAGTCATATGTTTTATCAGTGCAAATCAAAAAGTGCAAAAATTGATAAAAGAGAAATATGATTTCTTTACTTTAATTTATAAATTAAAAGATGTTTACATATTTTAATTTTATTTGATTCTTTTATTGAATTACTAATTATAATATATAATTGTCGAATATAAAAAAGATTAGTGACTGAAAAAAAAAGAGAATCGAAAATCGAAGTAAACATATCGATAATTTTTATGGCGCGAAAAGTGGTGGGGATAACTGCTAAATCAGTAGTTCTCAAAATGACGTAGATCAGCAGTCCTTTTCAAAATCTCAAAACTTTTCATTATAAAAAAAATTTATATAATTTACAAGGTAATAAAACTAATAATAATCATATTAAAATTACATTATTATTAAAAATTTTTGCAAAAAAATACAATTTCAATTATAATGTCATCGATGATATAATAAAAATATTCAGAATGATAATTATACTATTTTGTCAAATTTTAACATATAAAGTTTATAATTATTTTATAATTATAATGTTTTCTTGAGTCAAAAATTAAAATTTCTTCTTTGGAATTTGATTTAATTGAATTATTGATAAAGAAATAAAAAAAGAAAAGACAATCTTATAAATAATATTAAGAAATGCTAGTGTATTAATGTTGAATAATGCAGATAAATAAAGTATGATAGTAAAAGTAGATGAAAAGAAATGAAAATTTTATTTTATTTCAATTTTTTGAATTTTTATGAAAATTTTATATTATATGAAATAAATATAAATGCAAATAGATAAAGAAACTTTATCATTTCGTGAAAAGTTTTTAAAAATTCTTTAAAGTCAAAATAAATGTAAGATGCGAATAGTAGATGTAAAATTAGAGTAAAAATTCTCATAAAGATTTAGAGGGGCAGATTAAAGTGTAAGAATATTTAATGCTTTGTTTTGCTGCATTTTAACCTATTGAATGGAATTGAATTCAAATAATATTTGATATTATGAAATTATCTGAACAGGTAAATGTATGTGTGCATAAAAAACTGTAGAATAATTAATTTTCCAATAATTATTTTTGAATTATTAAACTGTAAACTTTTTTCAAAAGAAATTAAAATTATTCTCTTATCTATTGTTCTATATAATGATTTTCACATAAATAATGCATATTAAAAAAAAGTAATAAAAAAGTTATATATTATAATTCTCTTCATTTTCTCTTTTAATTTGAATAATAATTTGAAATAATAATAATTGCAATTAAAATTACAATTTTTTTTAAATTACCATATAATTCCATTTCAGTACAAAAATAATATTTTCATAATAACAAATGATTTATTTGAGAATCATTTTACTTAATAAAATATACAATTAAAATATATTTCAATTTTGAAATTTCTTTATAATAAATTCAATTTTAATTATTTCTTTTTTTTCATAATAATCTTAATCATTTTAATTATTTAATATTCTTATCTACCATTTTCAACTTAAACTATTAAAAAATCTCCAATTTCTTAAATATCTAATTTCTTAAAAAGAAAATTTTCAGTTTAAAGTAAATTGAAAAAAATTACTAGAACAATGAAAGGATTATCTTGTACAACTATATTAAATTACATTTCCTTTGTAGCAGAAATTTAAGAATTTTCAACGTTAATCTCTTAATACAGAAAATTACATTTTTCTTTTTTCTTTTTTTTTTTTTTAGCTTGTATACTTACCAGAACTTCTTCAAAACGATCGTAATTCTCAGGCCTAGTATTTAGAAGGCTCTCGCCAACTGAATCCGTGGCATTGCTCATCTGGCAGGAACCACGTATGCCCAAAGCGCTGGACGTAATATGCAGCAAGGATAGCACTGCCAAAAGTCCGGCTGGGGATATAAAAACAAAAGGGAAATGTATAACGGGGTATATTTTTTTCATTTTAGTTTGCTTTCGATGTTATTACTTAATATCAAATCCTTGTCTCTTTCGCATTCCTCTCATTCAAATATTTTTTCACAATACAAGATTTCAGAATAATGAAAATTTTCCTCCTCTTATTTATTATGATTATATTTTTGAAATTATATAATATTTTGTCAAATTAAATCATTTTTTGATTCTAATATATACTAAAAATATTACATGTAAAAATTATTATACAATTCCTGATCATTAAATTAGGATTATTTTAAGGAAAAATTTTTAAGTACCATAATTTTCTTAAAATTTGAAAATTAAAACTTTTATTTTTTGATTCTTTAGATCAATTTTCTTGATTGTTAATTATTTTGATATTTGATATTTAATATTTGGAAATTTTTCCTAATTCGATGATCAGGATCAAAATAAAATTTGAAAATCAAAAATAATAATAATAATGTTTTTACTTTTGATTTTTAGATATTAAAAATTAAAAATTAACAAAAATAAATCTAGATGCAATTCCTGCATTTGGATTCTTACAAGAATCAAAATAAATTATCTTAAATGAAAAATAGTGATTTTTAAATCTTGTCTTCAATATCATATAATTCTCCTCTACAACTTAGGTAAGTTATGTCTATGAATCAATGAGTATCCGCAGGGAGGAGCGACAGCTTTCAGGTGCTGCATTAGATTTATGCAGATCCGAACTTGTTTTCGTGAGTCCTTTGGGTGGAAACGTACTCACGAACAAGTTAAAATGTATCTTATTAATGATAGAGATAACATTATATCTATATGTTATTTTGTTAATTAGTCTTTAAAATTTTAAAATGCAACAATTGTATATCTAGTCTAATATAATTAATTATATTAAATTATATGTATCTCTAAAGAATTTCATTTTTTTCATTTATCATAACTAATTTACAAATAATTTGCAAATATACTGTGTAATTTTTTAAACTACAAATTTTATAATTTTTCTTTGAGATTCTAAATTACTAAATTCTATCATTTCATATATTTAAAGATAAAATCTATTTCAAAATCAAAGTGAATGTTTCCACATGAGAAAATACAAAATTTCTCCTAATTTAATTAAATAAAATAATATTCAAATATTTTCAAAATAATCATGTTAAATTATATCAAAAAATAATACGTTAAATTATACTTAATGATAGAATGAAAAAAATAAATAAATAAAGGAAATAATTCCACCAATGCATTATTAAGCTATGAATTAGCTTACAAAAGGGCTCCTGTTGTTACTTTTAATTAATAATTTTCAACTTATAAATATTTAAACAACTAGTTTGCCAAGTTACCCGCAACATAGGACAACCATAGACTATACGGTTTCCATGCCAAAATACAGGATAATGGTAGATAAAACAATGCTCTCCGCCAACCCCTTGTTATCGCCAACACTGCCGACCAGCAGCATGAACAAAGAGACTCGTCGTTCCTGAAACAAAATATATACAACGTTTTATCGAGGTCCGTGTCGTTCTCTGCAAGAACTAAGTCTTTTCAAATTGGATTTATAGGTGCAATAAAGCGTTGGAGATTTTATTAGGAGGAGAATAATTCATACACGTATTTTATAACTTTATTGGATAATAATATATAATTTTTGATATAATTTTGTGATATCATAATTTGAATAATAGATTTATTTTAGTGATCATATTAGAATATTTAAAAATTATTAAGTTTAAAATAAAAAAAAAAATAAGATTTTTTAAGATATGAAATAAATAAAATCCAAATTATTTATAAAATATTATTAAATTTATTGTAGAGTCTCATCACATATATTAATTCACTTACTATTTTTGCAAATAATATTAAATTTATATTATATTCCAATTTGAATTTATATTTTATTTAAGAATTTCTGAAACAAATAAAAATAATCAGAAAATAATATTTAAAAATAGTAAATAATTTAGTAAATCATAAATAATTAAAAAATATACTAAAAATTAAGTAATATTAATAATTTATTTAAGTTTAGAGAAAATAAAATTGCAATAATCTATGAATGAATTGATATAATAGATTGTAATCAGAATTATAAATTGAAATGAAATCATTCAATCTATAATATCTATACAATTGCATTCATTGTTGAAATTGGTGAAATTTAGTAATATAATAATAATTATTGTTATATATATTTTATATTATCTGTATTAACTTCTCTAATATATCCTTTGGATTTAAAGATTATTATATTCTACATATAAATTTTACCTATTTCATCTTAAATTAATAACTATTCAAAAAATAGTTCAATTTATCTTTATGAAATCAAAATTTTATTAAATACATCCAGTTACATTATTTTTTATAATATATTGGATAACTCATTTTTAATCTTTTTAATCAAAAAACTGTATTATATTATATGATAATACTTTTCACAACCAATGCATAATTTTCTATTATTTTTCTCACTTTCCAATCGTCCACATATCTAAACCAATTCAACCAAGCCAATATCCCTTACAACATGTTTTTATAAAAATCCTATAGTTTCATTCGAGCAAGTCACACCAAGTTATTTAACCAACCTACCCCTTTTTCCATTTTCCCTTCATTGTCAGTCGAGAATTCTCGAGCCGAATCTCATTGATTTCCTAATGCCATTCCAGATTCCAATAAACGCAAAAACGTCGACGAAATCGTGCAAACTATTCTCGAACGAGGGATTCTCACGAGGAAAAAGTAAAGCGGTGGCAAGGATGGAAAACTAGACTGGTAATTACCACGTTCGAACTTTGTCCCAATTTCCTCGATCGCGAGTCACCTCCACGTGTAAAGTGGGGAAGTGACGAAGATGGGCGAAGAAAATATGCAAGAACCTGATATAGATGTATAATAGAAGGAGGACGACGAGGATTGTGAAGCCACCGAGGAGGGTGGTCGTGCTCGAAGTGAATACGGCGAAAGATCGAGGTGGAATAAAAAGGGAGAAAGGAGTTTCCGAAGGGAAAAGACGATTTTATTGGCGGACGAACTTCCGACGATCTATCTCGGCTCGACACCACTCGTTTCGGGAGTTTATATTCTTGTCGACGTTATCAAAAGGAATAAAGTCGACGAATAAACGTCTCTCCCTCCTCCCCCTCCTTTTTTCTTGTACCTTTCTTATTACGACCGATGGAAATCAGATGTTTTATACCATGGAGGATTTTCTTCCCTCTTGCTTGTTTGCACTTCGATGAAAATGCTTGAAGAGATGAAGGGAGCTAGAATGAAAAGGAGCTCGCTTTGCTGGTTTGGAATAATAGTGTGTGATTATTTGAGGATTTTGTTAGAAAGATCTGTTTTCAATGAACTGATTTTTTTCTTCTTCTTTTTTTTTTCTTTTTGGAATAGGAACGTTTTGAACGTGGAAATTAAAGAGAAGAAATTGATTTATGAAAGATATTTATAAGTATTCTATTTTTTATTTTGGTCACGTTATTGTGTTTATCTGACTGATGTAAACTATTTTTCTGAATGTAACTTTCTTATTTTACTTTTTTTATGATTGTTTTATTCTACGTGCTTGGCTATGATTGGTCTATTCTACTTGTTTGGACGTGACTAGCTTATTCTATTTGGTTGGAAGCAACTGGCCCATTCTACTTGTCTGCTCTATTCTATTAACTTGATAGATTATTTTGTTCTATTTGCCTGATCATTCTACACATTTTTAACATTAAATATATTTAGTATAATATAATATTAAATGCTTGGATTTAGTGATGATGATAATTTAAACGTTTATGATATTTCTGTAAAAATCGTATAAACGATTATGAATGAAATATTTATAATAATTTAGGAATAAGAATAATATATAGAAAGAATATGCTAAATTTATTTACCTGACACAGATCTGTACGAACAAGGTGATGGCCCATGTAATCTCGAGAAAGAATATCAAACCAGATGCTGCTCTGAAATAGAATCATATAAATTTTTATTTAACGAGTAGTAGAAAGAATATTGTTGCAATTTATATTTATGTTTCAAATACTAGTAATAAAAATCCATCTATCAATTTCTTTTTCACTGCTCTTTTTAGAATCAAATTTTGTATTAAAAAAAATATTCATGAAAATTCTTTCTTATTTTTTTTTTTAAAATTATCAAAATTTAACTTACATTTTATCATATAACAATCATTATTTATACAATTAGAATATTTAAAAATTAATATTCTTTTATTCTCTTCATATTTTTAACATTTGCATTATTATTTTCTATTTTAAATTAATCCTTTTCTCCTATTATAAATATTCTTAAACAGTTTCATTATCTTCCACTATTAATACGATAATCTTAAAATAAACGTTTTACACCACTCTCATCTTATCTCCCTCCCAGGTTATTAATCTTCCACAACTTCTTCCCCGGTATACATAATTTCCACACTTTTTCGCAACAGTTCGACTTCCTTTAATTAACAAGCTGCACAAATTTATTCCAAACTCGTTTAAACGTCCTTCTTTGATCGCAAGAAGCGCAAAAAATCTCAAAACTTTCGTAAAAACCTTCTCCCTTCAAATTCATTTTCCTTTCTTTCTCAATTCGAACGATTCGAAAGAATGCTCACTCATTGATCTTCGAATCCAGCTAGTGAAAAAAAAAAAAATGGCAACACGACGAAATACAATTTCTCTTGCGCAATTCCGCTTTGCATCCCGCCTACGACTCTTATTTTATCGCGGAAATAAGTCTGCGAATTACTCGCGGCCCCGTGATTCCCTGCTGCCGTCGTGTCCACCCGCTATAAAACTCGCCCTGTTTCATCGCCGTTTGCTCCTCCTCGTTTTTGTGTTCCACGCGAGGAATTTCAAGCGAATTCGCGATTTCTCGAGCCGCAGAAGGTGGAATCGAATCGAGGGGGGAGGGGGAGAATTATTTCGTTCGTGGGAAATTCTGTTCCCCGGGTATTGTTTCGTCGAAGAATTCGGAGGAATTTTAAGAATGGGTTCTTCCTAGGGAGAATAGAAAATTTAGGATTCGTGAATTTTTAAACATTCGAAATAAGAAATGGTGGGATGTTACTTACGTAAGAGATACTTTGACAGAAATAAAAATATGCATAATTTGATTTTGCACATTGAAATTATATAAAAATATAGGCCAACGAGTTGTTCAATAATCCTTGTATTATTTTAAGAATTACGATAAATTTGAATCGTTATATCTTGGCAACGATTGAGATGTTGAAAGAAAATAAAGATTTTAATGGTTTTCTCTTTTCAAGTACTTTAATTGAATTAATTAATTTTTCTTATGTTCATGTTATAATATATATATATATATTTTCCAAGATAATTTATATTTTTAGGTCAACATATAATAATCTATCTTGAATTATACATGAACGTGTCAAATGCTCGAGCTAGTGCTCCAGTTCGTTGCATATTAGGTCTCGTAGGTCTCAAGAGTACAGGAACATGGAGAATTCTCTCTATGTAACGTTCTCTTGAAATCTACATAGATTTAAATACCAGTTTGTCAGAATTTCTTTAACCAAGTAAATGTTAATATTACATTTCATTATCACGTTTCAACAGGGATTATAAACACTGTACAAAATCGTATTCCAATGCAATAACTCTTATCGTCAATTCCTTGTTCGCTAAATTTTTCATCATAATTTTTTCATCACGATAAGTTCAACCCATATTCCAAGAATAATTGAATCTAAAAAATCGATTTTTAAATTCAATTCAATAATATAAAATCCATTTCTCTGATTAATACACATTTCAAACGAAAACGAATTACAAAACTCTTTTTCTTTAATAAAATCGAGTTATCGAAAAAAATTATTTTCCATTCGTCTCGAAACGCGTTTTCCATCGATTTCATTCGCACGTTGGATACGCTTAATTTCACTCGACACGGTTGGAATTCACGATGAAACCCGGGATATTTCGAGCTCGGGATATTTCGTGTTATAGTAATTTTGTGGAAGGCAAGACGCGCTAATGTCGCCACCACGCGTGGATAAAGCCAACACGCGGGAAATATGCAGTCGACCGTTGGGATAGACACGCGTATTACCGAGTGGCTGATCATACCGCGGCCGAATCTACTGCCGCTTCTATCATTGAACGTACTACTGTTATCCAAATGAGAATCCACGGGCAAACGAATCGATATGCGGACTCGTTTACTATTTGTTCCACATTGGATTTCGTATCTGACGGAATATTTTGGCGTAAAGTGGATTATTCTTTGTTCTCGTTTTTATATTGATATATTATATTTTAAACATTCGATATTTATTTATTTTAAAAAAGTTTTTCAGTCTTTATTTATGTTCAATGGACGATAATTTTTTTTTTAATTCTTAAATCAATACGCAATTTATACACTATATTTGAAAATATATTTTATATTATTTGTACGGATACATTTATATCAGGCGTAATAACAGTTCACATTTGCTTCTTTCATTGAATATTCAATTTTTTTACATCATTATTATTGTATCATTTTTTTTATATTTTTTTTTCTTTGTTGCCGTACTGACTGACAGTGGAAAATATGCATGTATAAATACGCGTGATTTATTAAGAGTAATTTTTACTTGCTACAGTAATTAACGCGAAGAAGAATAAAATGGAAAATAGTGTACTCTTTTAATCCCATTATGCTCGAATTTCGTTCTTGATATTAATTTATCACCGAGGAGGAATGTAAAAAATACCACCACGAAATATTTTCTTTCCTATAAATAATTATTATGATACAAAAAAAAAATGAATAATTTATGATATACATTTCTCTAAAATTTAAAATTTTATGCAAAAATTAATTACAGGATTTTTTTAAATTTTAAAAGTTTCATCAGTGTTTTTTTTTAAACAAATTCACATATATGATTAAAAATCAATGGAAACATAATCAACGAATTTACTTGATTTTTAAAACAGTGAAGTATTTTTGAAAAAAATTGGAAACAAAAGTAAAAACAAAAAAAAAGAAAAGAGGAATAGATAAATTATAATATAGCTCGTGTTCCTTTTAAATTCGCTGGTATCGCGCAGCAATAAAGTTAAAGTTCCATCATTGTTCGAACAATCGCACCAGTGTCGTACGTTAAATGCAATGTCCCCAAACTCGATTTATGGCTTGCAACTGCATTAATCAGAGAGGTAGATCTTCCCCCCGTAAATTTCAATCTAAATTCACTCACAATAAAAGATAACGAAAAGATAACATTTTTAACATATATCGCGATCGAAAATATACATCGAGTCTATTAATATTCCATATTGCCTGATATAAAATATTCATTCATTTTTTACTTGCGATATTTACGAACATAATGAGCATGAAAAAAATGATATAATATTATATCACATATGCTAATTGAAACTAGTAATTTTGATAAAATAATATATAAAAATAATATTCTATTTTAATATTAAATAAATAAATTTTTTATATATATATATTTTATATATAAAAGTTTTATATAAATATATAGCTTGAAAACAATTAATTTAAAAAATTTTAAACTTGGAATTATGATAAAGAAAAGATATTAATACAATTTTTATTCTTCTCCCTTTTTTCTACATTTTTCTATATTTTTATAAAATAATTTATTTGTTATAATATAATAATAGAAAATAATAAAAAAAAGAAATATCGATTGATATTATCGAAATTAGATGCAGATTGGCCGATCACGCTTATAACATCGTTATATTGTCCGACCAAAAATACACACAAGTATCGTGCAACTTGGTGTGTGGAACTATCAAAAGTTTATTTTTGATAAAATAAACCGATTGAAATTTAAGTTTACACAAACGATTTTGAACGAGGTCAATTCGCTTGTTTGACCTAACCTAAAAGTTGCCTCTAATGTAAACGAGGCTTCACTACATGCATAAACATATCATAAAATTCTGCAGGCATCCTCGAAATTTTTGATTTATTTATACCTCCTCTTATTTTTACTTCTAGTTTCGAGAGAAATTATTTATTTCTTTAAATGATCAAATATATATATATATATATTTTAGAAAAAGAGAATTTTTCAAAAAAAATTGACTCGTCAAACTTGAAGAGAGAAAAATCTCGATAAATATATTTTCAAATTTTATATTAACTTATATAATCATAGAAATTGTAGCAAATCTATAATAATTATTATAGATATATACACTATAATTTTTTATTATAATTAAACCAATATTTCACAAATGAACAAAACATAAATAATACAGTATCTCCTTTTTAAATAACAAAAATAGAATTTATGGCACATTAGATTATTTGAAGTTTTATATATTCCGAACATTAATGCCTTTTCCTTCTACAACTGTTTACAAGCATTACACTAGCTCGTAAAATCGTAAACACGATGGAAAGTTGTGTGCAACACAATGGTATATATATATATATATATGTATATATGTATATACATGCTATATTTACCATTCAAGCAAATTTGAGCCACTTGTGTAACTTCCCATTGTAGTTGTATACCACGTCTATTTCGTTTGTATTATTTCATCCAATGTTTGTCCTATATGGTTTTCTTACCGTGTTCGTTAATATATACACGAGGAGGAGGGGGGAAGGAGGAGGGGAAGAAGAATGGTCGCAAAACGAGGGCAATCACATTTAAACGAAAGCAGTTACAAGGTTGGTAACACAGAGAGAAATGAACAATTAGTTGAGCAAGCTCGAGTTTTCCATTGCCCCCCCTCTCCTCCCTAAAAGTTATCTTGCGATCCAAATTTCTGAATTAATCGTTGCTCGTTCATTTCATCATTGTTGTGTCACTATTATTGTATATTTATTTACACTACTCGAGAAAAATATCCTCGTTCGAGATATGTACAGAGGGAGAGGGGGGAGGGGGGGACTTTCTTGTATTGTTCGAGTTTCGAGTTTGGAATCTTGTAAAGATGTCGTTAAA